CCAAATACTCATTTTGCCTACTAGTAATGACCGAATCCTTTGGCATCTTTTAAATCTCTATATCTTTTTTAAAAATATTTTGACTGCATTTTAAATAAAACTGTTTATGGTATTTTCTTTTAAAGTGAGGACACTTCACTCCTGCAGGGAAGTGGTGTTAGTATGCAGGGCCCATCAATATGAGATTTTCACCTTTTTTTCACTTGTTCTGGGCCTAGTCTAAAAATGCTGGGCCTTTCTTCTGCTCCGCCCCATGTGTAACACTGGGATGTAACTGTAGTCCCTAAGAGCAGCAGAATCAGATCTGGCACATGGTCAAAACTTTGCATAGTCACAAGATGCATTGAATGCTCTGCCATAGGATTGCCAACTTTCTAATCCCACAAAACCTCTATACCTTAGCTCCGCCCCTTCCTCAAGGCTCTGCTCCCAACTCATTACATTCCACCTGCCTCAGTGGCTTTTTTCATTTTCACCAGGCTGGCTTAAGGGGCTGGCATCTAGGGTGGGGATGAGGGCTTTGGCTGGGGGTGCAAGCTCAGGGGCGGGGCTGGGGATGAGAGATTCAGAATGTGGGAGGGGACTGTGGGTTGAGGCACGAGGTTAGGGTGCAGGGAGGCTGGGGGCTTCATCTGGGGATGGAGGCTCTGGGTTGGGGCTGGGGATGAGGTGTTTGGAATGCAGGAGGAGGTTCCGGGTAGGGATGTAAGTGAGTAGTCGAATATTTGACTACCCGACAAGCTTATGCTTATTGGGTAGTCAAACGAAGTTCTTGACTACTTGCTTCCCCTCCCCCTTGCTGCCTTTGTATGAGAGCTGGTGCTGGGGGGAGCCACCTTGAAAATGGCTCCCACAGCACTGTCTCCATGGTGCCTCTATCGGGGCAGTGGAGGGCTGGGGCTAGGGGAGGCTGCTACAAAGCAGCCCCTGCCCATGGCCAGTCCTGATCACCACAAACATGAGCTGCTGGACCCAGTCTCCAGTGTGAGCCAGGACCGAGCAGTCCTGGTTTGCGCCAGTCTGGGACACTGCACCTCTGCATTTTAAATGTATTGATAGCCGCCAGGCTCTTAGTACATTTAAAATGCAGAGCTGCAGCAGTCCAGAGCTGGCGCAAACTGTGGCTCTGCAGAGGGCTCCCTTATCGCCTAATCATGTAGTCGATACAAATTGTATCGACTACATCATTAGCCAGATAATCACAATTTAATATCCTTAGTTCCAAGCTGGGGGGTGGGACAGAGAGGTTCAGTGTGTGGGAGGAGTCTCTAGACTGGTGCAGGAGGGTGTGGGCTCCATTTGGGGGTTCAGGCTCTGAGGTGGGGATGGGGATGGGGTTGAGGGGTTTGGGATACAGGAGGTAGCTTCAGATTTGAGGGGAGCCAGGGCCAGGGCAGGGGATTGGGACTTGGATGTGCACTTATCTCCGGTGATTCCCAGTCAGCAGCATAGTGGGGAGGTCTAAGGCAGGCTTCCTGCCTGACCTGGCACTGCAGACCATGCTGCACCTGGGAAGTGGCCAGTAGCAGGTCCATCTCCTTGGGGAAGATGCGGCAGGTGGTTCTGCATGTTGCACTACTCTCGCTTGCAGACGCCTCCCCCCCACCCCCTGCATCTCCCATTGACAGCAGTTCTTGGCCAATGGGAGTGCAGAGCTTGTGCATGAGGCTCGGGTAGTGCATGGAGTCCCATGCCCACCCCTACCCCACTTAGGTGCTGGACTTGCTGGCTGCTTCTGGGGTGCAGTGTGGAGCCAGGGCAAGTTGGGAATAGCCTGCCTTAGCTCCACCAACTGAACTTTTAATGGTCTGGTCGGAGATGCTGACCAGAGCACCAGGGTTCCTTTTCGACTGGATGCTCAGGTCAAAGATCAGGCATCTGGTCATTCTATAACCCAGAGATCAGAGTGCCTTAGCTGGTTAGTATAGATAAATACACAGCTAGGTCAAATCAAAATGGAAACATTTTATAACACAGCACATTGGTATCCTTTTGGTCTTTCTCCCCTCACATTGACAGTTGCCCCTCATTTGCTATTGCCTCTGACCCTGACTCACCTGGCCCACAGGTTAAATTTGTCATGATACCTGTGAATTCCTGCTAGCTTTCAGCACTTCCAAGAGTAAAAAATTTCCTCCTCTCCTTCCACTAAGTACTTGCCTGTATGAATGCTGCAAAGTTTCCATAGCCCCATCTAACAGCAGTAGATTTTCAAAGTACTGAGCATGGCTATTTTAATTCCCACACCCTCTATTAGCAGTAGATGCAGCCTCAAACAATCCCAACAAGCAGTTAAAAGCCGGGATACCTGTCTAAGTGAGTCAAAGGCACTGCTTTGAACTCTCTCACCTATGCTAATGTTAAAGTGACCTGGTGGCAGTGTAAGTCCACTGAAGAGCAAAGTCTATTTTACAGTAATCCCAACTAGAGATTTCAAAATTGGCTCCAGTAAGAATACTGAACAGTGTTCACTCTTCCAGTTCTTCACTCACTTCATTTTTCTTCTCACAACAAACCCTTCAAATGCCTGGTATTGTGCAGCATCTTGAAACAGCGTATGGCCATCACAATTCTTTTACCGGCACTTTGTGTATAAATCAGCAACCGACATTTTGTGATTCCCCCCACTGTTGATCAGGAGTACACCAATGGATAAAAATTCAACAGGACATGTCTTTAGGTGCTTCCTGTAATAGAAAATCTAGCAACCTGCTTTTACAGCAAAAATAATCCATGTGGAACCAGGTTCTGGATCTCTTTGGACAATTATGCGGGTGACACTTAGCTTTCTTTCTCTTTTTCGCTGAGCCTAAACACAGCGGCTACATCTAGACTGGCATGATTTTCTGCCAATGCTTTTAACAGAAACGTTTTTCCGTTAAAAGCATTTGCAGAAAAAAGTGTCTAGATTGGCATGGATGGTTTCGTGCAAAACCCCTTTTTACAGAAAGGCATCCGTGCCAATCTAGACGTGGTTTTGTGCAAGAAAGCCCCGATTGCCATTTTCGCCATTGGGGCTTTTTTGCGCAAAACAGTTTTTAGCTGTCTACACTGGCCCTCTTGCACAAAAGCATTTGCGCAAGAGGCCTTTTCCCCGAGTGGGAACAGCATAGTATTTGTGCAAGAACACTGACAATCTTACATTAGATCATCAGTGTTCTTGTGCAAATTCAAGTGGCCAGTGTAGACAGCTGGCAAGTTTTTCAGTGGCCAGTCCAGATGCAGCCAAGCCTGTGTTTTTTAAGATAGGAACTGGGTGAAACGTGCTCATTTGTGCTTATTCAAGACAAGACGGAGGTGATGCTTGCTGCCAGAAGAAAGCATTTTGGGGAACCTAAAGAGGGACTGTGACTCCACTGTTATTGGAAAAACATAAAAAAACAACAAATAGTCTAGCAGCACCTTAAAGACTAACTAAACATGTAGATGGTGTGTCATGAGTTTTCGTGGGTACAACCCACTTCTTCAGATGAATGGAGCACTAGAAGTCCAGATCCAAGAATAAATAAGGGAAGGGGGGAAGTCTTTATTCACCTTTTGTCAAGGTGGTGTGAATTCTGGGGGAAAGAACAGACTCTTCTCTGCTCCTGGATTTTCACATACTCTTCTAGCTGCAATATCTCCCCTTGCATTTTTATCCGGACAAGAAATGGTGCCCTTTCTGCTGCAGGATAGATTACTTTCTTTTTCAAGCACTCTATTTTGGGCTACCCTTGAGAGCCACTCAGAAGCTACAATCAGTACAGAATGCAGCTGTTGTCTTGTTAAAAGGGACAGCACGATGAGAGTGCATTGCACCAATGCTCTTATATGAATAGACAATGAAGAACAATGAGAGCTCTTTTAAAAAATCTGCCTCTAGCCACCTAAATAGACTAGGGATCTTGTATTTTACAGATGGCTTCTTCCTCTGTGCTTTATCACAGCTGTGGTCAGTAAGGCTATTTCTGATGTCAGCTCCCAGATAAAACTCCTGGAGACCAGCAACACGGTGTTCTCAGCTCTAGAACTCACTCTCAACGGTGATCTGACACAGCCCACATTACCACTTTTGTGTGCAAAATATCACCTCTTAGTCTGTGTTCCCTAGCTCTGAATGCTGGATTACAGCCACTGAGCAAGAGGGGCATGAAGGTGGTAAATGGCCAGTGTTGTGCCTCCTCTTCTGCCATGGAATGCTCTGAGATCAGTATGGACGCACGTCAGATTAGGCTATCATATCCATCCACAGTACCTCACATGCACACATTCCACCAGGGTAGTCAGTTCTCTTTTGCATAGGTCCCAGTGTCATAGTCAAGGTATAGTCAATATCTAGGCTCCAGAAAAAATAATAAAAAAACCCCCCAATGAAAATAATAAGCACATAAAAATAATTTCAAAGTACATTCAAAAGCATCTGGCCATCAGTATTTGACCCTTGTAGCCAAGAAGGCTAATGGCATATTAGGGTGCATTAGGAGGGGCATTGCCAGCAGAACTAGAGAAGTGATTATTCCCCTTTATTCAGCACTGGTCAGGCCACATCTGGAGTACTGCATCCAATTCTGGGGCCCCCAACACAGAAAGGATGTGGACGCATTGGAGAGGGTCCAGCGGAGGGCAACAAAAATGGTTAGGGAGCTGGAGCACATGACCTACTTAGGAGAGGCTGAGGGATTTGGGATTGTTTAGTCTGCAGAAGAGAAAAGTGAGGGGGGAGTTGATAGTTGGGTTGGTTCTGCTTTGGGCAGGGGGCTGGACTTGACCTCCTGAGGCCTCTTCAGCCCTCAGATTCTATGACCCACAGTCCACCTATTGATTACCCCTGTAATACACAAATACATAACACTGTACTTTCCCCAGGAACAAGGAACAATGGGCACCCACTATGTGCTTTTATATTCGCGCACACACACACACACACACACACACACACACACACACACTTTTTTTTATCTTGGAACTTGCATGATAGTAGCAGAGAACAGTAATGCCTATGAGAGCTTTAGGTACAATACCAGTATGGTGGCATTCCTCGCCTTGGCTATGAAGTCCACGTTGATGCCGCCAATCACCACCTTAATGGGAGGGGAGGGGGGAGAGAAGTGGAAGAAAAAAATTGACCAGAAGAAATGCTGAGTTTTGTTTGCTTTTCTCAATTTCTCCTGCTGATCTCTCAAAGTAGATAAAAATCATACTGTGAAGGCCTGATCTTATCTGGCTAGGTCAGACCAAACCAGACAGTGTTTCCACAGAGCCCCATTGGAAAGAAAGGAAAATTTATTCTGAATTCTGCCCTCTGAACAATGACTCCTTACAGCCAGCCACAGAAGAAGAATAAATTGCTTAAGGCAAGCAGGGTATTATGTGCTCGCACATACACCCAACACCAAAAGTACAAAGTTTTGCCCGCATAGCTATGTTGTTTATAAGTGTGGAAAAAATAATTTAAAACCCCACACTGTGTTAATACAGCTAAGATGACAGAAGAGTGCTTCGCTCAACCTAGCTAATGGTGTTCAGGGAAGGGATGTAGACATGCCAGCTGAAGAACTTTTTCTGCCACTTTACGCAGTGCCTGCTACACTAGGGGGCTGTGTCTAGACTGGCAAGTTTTTCCGCAAAAGCAGCTGCTTTTGCGGAAAAACTTGCCAGTCTAGACACAGCCCCCTAGTGTAGCAGGCACTGCGTAAAGTGGCAGAAAAAGTTCTTCAGCTGGCATGTCTACATCCCTTCCCTGAACACCATTAGCTAGGTTGAGCGAAGCACTCTTCTGTCATCTTAGCTGTATTAACACAGTGTGGGGTTTTAAATTATTTTTTCCACACTTATAAACAACATAGCTATGCGGGCAAAACTTTGTACTTTTGGTGTTGGGTGTATGTGCGAGCACATAATACCCTGCTTGCCTTAAGCAATTTATTCTTCTTCTGTGGCTGGCTGTAAGGAGTCATTGTTCAGAGGGCAGAATTCAGAATAAATTTTCCTTTCTTTCCAATGGGGCTCTGTGGAAACACTGTCTGGTTTGGTCTGACCTAGCCAGATAAGATCAGGCCTTCACAGTATGATTTTTATCTACTTTGAGAGATCAGCAGGAGAAATTGAGAAAAGCAAACAAAACTCAGCATTTCTTCTGGTCAATTTTTTTCTTCCACTTCTCTCCCCCCTCCCCTCCCATTAAGGTGGATAGCCGAGCACTACACCAGCATAGCTCTATTGGCAAAAGCTTTGTAGTGCAGACATGACCTTACTTTGCACTGATAGCAACTAGCTTGGCATGCATGCTGGGAAAGGTATTTATGAGGTGATAAGAGGGGAAAACTGAAAACCAGCTAGGACCCTAAAGGAATTTGTAGGAAACCCCCCAAACTGATGTCTGAGGAATCCACTTTGATGACTGAGGCCAATGTCAGCACTAATCACTGAGGACTCCAGCTCAGAGAAGCTTTTAGAAAGGGGGAAAATGAAAATAAAGAATGAAGAGGATTTAAAAACATCCCCAAGGGAAATGCAAGAGTGAAGAGAGACTCTCCAATTGTTTGTAACAGAATGGATGGCCCTTGCCCCACAGGGGAGAGTTACTGTGTTGTGAACACTAGCTGTGAACTTCTCTGTCATGCTATTGGTAGACAGGCACTACCCACAAAGAGCAGAGGACTCACAGGCCTTCGTGCAGTTACTTTCTCATGCTGAGGTAGGCTGCCCTTCCCCGTGGCAGTTTGGATCTTGCTCAGGGCCACAGCTATGCGGCTGCCCACCCTGGCATTGTTCTGGATCAGAGCGATGTCTGAATGGATATTCATTTTTAAAGAAATGAACGGCAAGAGCCTGGCCTGGGAAAAGCCTGTGTAGGAACTTCCCTAAGGGGAGAGAACAGGAAGTGGAAGCGGGGACAATGGCACAGAGGCACCTCATGGTCCTGATTGACGCCACTCCAATGACTGTACCTATGACAGATTCCCCTAGCACGTGGACACCTCACAATCTGTAAAGGCATTTTATCTTCACCACATGCCTTGGAGGCTGGAAAACGCTTTCAGATGGGGAGCCTAGCAGTTGGGTGCCTAAATATCTTTGAGGATCTGGCCATACAGGACTTGTCTAAGATCACACAGGATGATTGCAGCAGACTAGGGAATGAAATCCATGTCTCCCCAGGGCACTCCCTAACTGCGGGGGCAGCCCTGTGCTCCCCTCTGCCAAATAGCTTCACATACTGATTTACTGGCATTTCATAGCCACTTAATTCTCCCGTTGCATCAATGTACCTGACTGCACAAAGCAATGAGGAATCGGGTCCATAAGCAGGGATGGTTGACCAGACTCCAGTACATTCAAGCACAGATGCTACTCCAGTGCAGTGGCATATAACAATGATGCCCAGAGTCCTCTTTCTAAGACAGAGGGAGCCTGGCAGGTAGGGTGGATGGTTTACTGCCTGACTTGAAAATTGCAGGAGAGCCTTGGCTTTTGAACACCTCCTTTCTTTGCCAGACACCAGTTTTTGCAGCAGAAATGGAGGGAGACCGTGTAATTAACAAGCTTAACAATGGCTTCTGTGCAAAAAAAAATTTTAAAAAATGCTAAATATTTGGCCTTTCAAGTTTCAAGATTAACTAGTAATAGAGTGAGAATATTTTGAGGTCAACCTGTTGGATGAGATTTGGAAGGGATTGTGAAATATTTATTTTCTTTAGTAAAAGGATACTGGAGTCCAGTGATTTTCCACTAGTCAGTTCATTCACCTTCTGTAACAAAAATATCCCTTCTCCCCTGCAAACAAACAGAAAATACCTTTTTGATAAGAACAAGCAAACTAGCAGGGCGTAAGAGTGGACACATTGGATACGAACAGATAATCTAGCTGTATAACTGCATGCAGTCTAAGAGCCACTAAACAAGCTCCAGGATGCATAGAACTATAGTGAACATCACATCACTTGGGGGAATCACCCAAACCTGAGATTAAGGACATAGTTTGCATCATTCCCTTGTTGCATGTAGAAGAGAAACAGAGGGGCTACGTCTACACTGGCATGATTTTCCGTAAATGCTTATAACGGAAAACTTTTCCGTTATAAGCATTTTCGGAAAAAGCGTGTCTACATTGACAGGATACTTTTCCGGAAAAGCACTTTTTGCGGAAAAGCATCCGTGGCCAATCTAGACGCGCTTTTCCGCAAAAAAGCCCCGATCATCATTTTCGCGATCGGGGCTTTTTTGCAGAAAAGACTACTGTGCTATCTACATTGGCCCTTTTCCAGAACAGTTTTCCGGAAAAGGACTTTTGCCCAAATGGGAACAGCATAGTTTTTCTGGAAAAGCACTGATGATTTTACATTAGATCGTCAGTGCTTTTCCAGAAATTCAAGGGGCCAGTGTAGACAGCTGGCAAGTTATTCCGGAAAAGCGGCTGATTTTCCAGAATAAGTGGCCAGTGTAGACACAGCCAGGCAGTCTGAGTAGTCTGAGATCTGCAACATAATCTAAGTATAGATTTTAAACGCCTACTTATTTTCCAAAGCAACGTAGCTAGAAAAAACATTTCCTACTTTTACTTAGCTGCTTAAAGTTGTGTTCTGGGTTTCCCTGATTCTCAAAGAACAGTATTTTTTTTTGCACTGTCTTAGCTTGCCATAGGGGATATTACTGATAACTGAGTGAAAGTCACCTCTGTGCAGAAGAGGGTTCGAGTAGGACATAGATCTTGTTCTGGCTATCTACTCAAGGGGGAATTTCACAGGTAAGGAATAGTTGCAAGGGTAAGTGAAAGAGGGAAATAATTTTCAAATCATTTGCATTTTGAAATACAAATGTATTTACTATGTCTGCCCATCAATTCTGATTTGATTCTTCTATTTCATTATTTTTTTTGTTAAGTCAATGGTGTTCTCTCTTTTGTTGTTGTTGTTGTTGTTGTTGTTAAGTCAATGCATCTAACGAAGTGAGTCTTTGCCCACGAAAACTTATGGTCCAATACATCTGTTAGTCTATACGGTGCTACAGGACTCCTTGTCGGTCTCTTTTAAAATGCCCATCCCTGGTGTGTGCTGTGGGTTGACTGCTTATGGATAAGCCCTGCAACCTCTGGCATGGTCATAACCATGGAGTGAATTAAGAACAAAGTTTGAAGTGTTTCTCACCGGGCTTTGCTCAGGGCTTGTTGGATGGCATCTTCAATGACCTCTCCTGAAGCAGCTTCCTCCTTGGGGCAGGGCACCGCAATCAGCACGCCACTGCCCAGGCCCAGTGCCAAGGTGCTAGCTGAGAGGGAAGAGAGAGCTCTGAGTTGTGTCTGCATGAGCTGAGTAAGCCAATCCAACCAGGAAGCACCAAAGCACATGAGAGTGTGTGCATGCCCATAATGCCATGGTACAAATCTTCCCTGACATCAGGGACTGAACCAGTGACCTCCAGAGCTGAAAGCACAGATCTCTGCAGATTGTGCTAAAGAAGACTCAGGCCGCATTATGACTAGGGGCTGGGCTCCCCACACACATCCTTTGTGGTTTGGACACAGCTGGGGACATATATGTTACATGAGCCTGTAGATTGTAGGTGTAGACTCTGATGCGAGGAGGGGAGATCCTGGTTGGTGTACGTGTGAAGGAAGCTGTGAAGTTGCAGACAACTTTCTAATGGGGGGGTCCCTTGTTGTGCAGACCTGCTTTGAGCAGGGTCAGCTGTGCGAGTGGGGGTAACCCCTGTGTGTCTGTGCCCTGTATACACTCATGCTCCCACGGCTGCTGCCGATTCCTGAAAATGGCGAGTATAGGATGTGTCTACAGTGCAGGGTTCAATTCGAAATAAGATATGCAAATTAAGCTGCGTCGATTGCGGATCTTATTTTGAAATAGCTTATTTTGAAGTAGGGAACATCCGCACAGCACTTATTTCGAAATAGAGCACTCTTCCTCCAACTTCCCTTATTCCTTGTACAATGAGGTTACAGGAGTGAGAGTAAGTCCTCCAGCTTGACAGTATTTTGACACTATTTTGAAATAACTGCCTGCTGTGTAGAAGCGGACTAAGTTATTTGAGAATAGCGCTAGTTATTTCAAAATTGTGTTGCAGCGTAGATGTACCCATAGTCATATTGCCTAAGCAGTAGCTTTGTTACAAAGGAGCTCACCTGAAATCCCTCCAGATTCTCAGAGCAGGCAAATTGCATGTATGTGGGAGTGACCAGGTGTGCAAATAATTCTGTGTAACTCTGAGCATAAATGCTGGAACTGGGGGCTGACCCTGGCTTGAAGTGGTTTCCATTATATACAGAGCTTGCAGTTTGTTTCACTGGCTTTCAGCACCCCCACTGTACAAATTGTTCCAGCACCTCTCGCTCTGGGCATATGTAACTCCTGCTTAGTTGGTTCCATCTAAAGGCAGACCCTTTTCTCTTCCCCTGATGAAAAGCAGGGGGACAAGAGAGATGTTCTGGACAGCCAGCTCTCCACATGAAATTCATATAATTAAACAGAACAATCTGTACAAGCCTCTGCCTCCTGAACCAAATCTGAACTTCACAGCTTGGGCCTTTCTCCACTACAAACTCACCAATAAGTTTGGCAGCCTCCTCCTCATTTTGCACCTGACACGGTGCTTGGAAGCCACTCTGTCGGGAGAAGAAGGCAGGGAATTCCCTTGATTCTCCAAAGGCAGCCACGCAGACACCCTGAGTCTCCTACAGCAGTGAAAATGAGATGAACAAATAATAAGAAGGGATGAAGAGCCACCAAAAATGGCTACTTTCCCACCTACCTGCTAAGAGTTGCTACACAGCAGAATAGAATTTAGCTAGTTTTACTCATCCTCTTTTCTTCTCTAGGTATTGCACAATTATTTCCAAAGCAAGGAGTTAGACACAGTATCAGTGGAGTCGAATGTGATAGACCTAGCACCTAGCTTGGGGAGGCTCTGTGTTGACTGGTCCTGGTGATTGCGACTGTGACAGATTTATAGTTGCTTGTAACAATTCATGAATATTATATATTGTCCTGATTACTGGAACATTTACTGTATGCCTGTGTTGGTTTAGTTGAATGGCAGGCAGTTGGAAAAGGAAGGAGCCAATCAACTTCAGATACAACTCCTCTGGGCCAACACTGCAGGGAATTAAAAGACAATGTGTGAGCTATTAACTGGGAAGCTCCTGCTTCCTTGTCTCCAGCCAAATGACACAGCTTTCTGCTAGTACTGGGACCCTACAGATCAGAAGGGCTATAAATAAACTCTACATTGAAAGGGGAGGACAGACACAGACACCTGCTTGAGGTATCCAGGGCTGGCTTTACCTAAAATGGCACCCTGGGCAACTAGGGTTGCCAGATGTTTTCAACAAAAATACCGGATACACTTGACAGTACATCACAATCTACATTACATCTTCTTTAGAAAATACCGGACATTTCTATTTTCTCAACTTGTTTCCCGAACAGAAAGCTCAAATACTGGACTGTCTGGTTCAAAACCAGACACCTGGAAACCCTATGGGCAACACTGGAGGTGGAGCAGGATGCTGGAGTGGGGAAGCTGGGTGGAGGGTGGAGTTTGGCTGGGGGAGGAGTGGAGACACAGTTGGAGTTGGGAATGGGGGTGGACTGTAGCTAGGGAGGATCTAGGGATGAGAGAAGAGTTGTGCTGGAATTAGACCTGGGCTGAGAGGCAGAAGTGCCAAGGGCCTGGGGATGGGAGCAGAGCAGGACTGGAGGTGGACTGTGGCTGTGAGGGGAACGCAATTGGGAGGTGGAACTGAGTAGGAGGAGGCTATTATTGTGACACTTTGACTGTCTTCCCTCTCCTCCTCCCTGAGCATGGCACCCGATGCAGTCTCACACATCACGGCTGTGTCTACACTGGGCCACTTATTCTGGAAAATCAGCCGCTTTTCCGGAATAAGCTGCGAGCTGTCTACACTGGCCCTTGAATTTCCGGAAAAGCAACGATGCTCTACTGTACAAAATCAGCCGCTATTCCGGAAAAACTATTCTGCTCCCGCTCGGGCATAAGTCCTTATTCCGGAACACTGTTCCGGAAAAGGGCCAGTGTAGACAGCCCAGTAGTCTTTTCCGGAAAAGCGCGTCTACATTGGCCCCAGATGCTTTTCCGGAAAAAGGTCTAGGTCTAGGTCTAGGTCTAGGTCTAGGTCTAGGTCTAGGTCTAGGTTCTTTTGTCTTTTGTCTTTTGTCTTTTGACCTGGTGGTGGGGTGCTGTCTAAGGGCCAAAACAACACCTATTGCACCTTCTTCTTTTCTCCACTGTGGAATATCAGAACTAATTTGGATTCCATTAGGAGTTTAGTTGTGAGCTGCAGAGTTGACTTCACTGTTGGCCAGTGGAGCAGTAGAACTGAGGTTCCTCTATTATGAGCTGAGCTTGCTGAAGAGCTGAAATCACTATTGCTGTGGGGAGCCTGGTGTTATACTGCGGAAGAGCTGAAATCATTGTTGCTGAGGAGAGCCCGGTGCTATGCCGTGGAAGAGCTGAAATCACTATTGCTGTGGGGAGCCTGGTGTTATACTGCGGAAGAGCTGAAATCATTGTTGCTGAGGAGAGCCCGGTGCTATGCCGTGGAAGAGCTGAAATCACTATTGCTGTGGGGAGCCTGGTGTTATACTGCGGAAGAGCTGAAATCATTGTTGCTGAGGAGAGCCCGGTGCTATGCCGTGGAAGAGCTGAAATCACTATTGCTGTGGGGAGCCTGGTGTTATACTGCGGAAGAGCTGAAATCATTGTTGCTGAGGAGAGCCCGGTGCTATGCCGTGGAAGAGCTGAAATCACTATTGCTGTGGGGAGCCTGGTGTTATACTGCGGAAGAGCTGAAATCATTGTTGCTGAGGAGAGCCCGGTGCTATGCCGTGGAAGAGCTGAAATCACTATTGCTGTGGGGAGCCTGGTGTTATACTGCGGAAGAGCTGAAATCATTGTTGCTGAGGAGAGCCCGGTGCTATGCCGTGGAAGAGCTGAAATCACTATTGCTGTGGGGAGCCTGGCACTATGCTGCTGAGCTACTAGTAGAGTAGCTTGCAGGGACAACTAGCAAGCGCAGGCAGACAGCAGAGCGGTTTGGCTGGGACGACCAGCAAGTGCAAGCGGACAGTGGAGCGGTTTGCGGGGACAACCGGCGGGTGCAGGCAGACAGCAGAGCAGCTGGCGGGGACGACCTGCGGCCGGTAGGAGCAGCAGCAGACAGCCAGTGGAGCAGCTGCAGGAGCAGCCAGGGGTGTGGACCAAGGGAGCCGGACAGTTCGTGGGACAGCCGAGGCGGCTCACGGGACGACAGGTGGAGTGTGGCGGAGTGACTCGCATTGACGGCAGTGGCAGAACCCTACGGAGAGGCGGAGCCATCGGCAGACCACGTAAGGTGTATCAATCCCTGCCCTCCAGGTTGGAATGGTAAAACCCTGCCAGGTGAACTTTTGAACCCTGGGGCGGCACTGACCCAGGGCAGAGACTTTTGGGGTGTTGGACTTTTGGGACTTTGGGTGATTCGTGGCTGGGGGAAGGGTCTTTGCTCATGTTTGGTCTGTGAATCCGAGTTGTGGTGTTTTCCCAAGTTAATGCTGATGTCGGTTACCTCATGTTATTAAAGGTTTGCTGCTATACTGAGGTTCTGTGCTTGCGAGAGGGGAAGAATTGCCTCTTTGAGGCACCCAGAGGTGTTTGTAAGATTTCCCAGGTCACTGGGTGGGGGCTTGAGCCGGTGTTCTATTACCTTGTTGGGAGGAGACCCCTAGATACTGAACCCGGCCCTTGCTGCTACTAACTCGGCCTGGCAGAAGGGTTTCACATGTATGCAGAATTTTTGTTGTTTTTAAAAATCCTTTTTTTTGTTATGCCTTTTCCCCTACTGTTAAGATAGGCTTGTCTAAGAAGGCTTTCTAGTCACTGAAGGTACGTCTAAACTACATCCCTTTTTCAGTAAAGGGATGTAAATTAGACATATTGAAATTGCAAATGAAGGCGGGATTTGAATTTCCCATGCTTCAGTTGCATAATGGCGGCCGCGGCTTTTTTCAAAAGAAAAGTAGCCGTTTAGACGGGGATCAATCGAAAATAAAACCCTTTCAGGATAAAACCTGTACAGGATCTTTCGAAAAAGGGTTTTATTTTCGATTGATCCCCGTCTAAACGGCTACTTTTCTTTTGAAAAAAGCCGCGGCCGCCATTATGCAACTGAAGCATGGGAAATTCAAATCCCGGCTTCATTCGCAATTTCAATAGGTCTACCTTACATCCCTTTATCGAAAAAGGGATGTAGTTTAGACATACCCTGTAATATCCACTCATTGTGAGCTCCTGAAGGGTAGAACTATATGTACCAAATCCAATCTTCCCTCCTGGGTAAACACAGTTGATGCACAGAGTGCTGTAGCCCAGGGCCCAGTCTAGAACTTGGGGAATCATGGGATTCTACAAAGATGAAAGCACAAGAGCTGGAGGGGTGCACCATCGGGACAAAGAAAGGGGTTGGAGCAGGTGCAGCTTACCCTGAACAGAGACAGCAATGCTAAAAGCATCCCATCCTGTCTGGTGAATGGTATGGATTTTTGCCTGGTCCAAGGGATGGGTAGCGTTTTTGAGGTAAGGTTCATGAACTGACAAAGAATATAAATGAATCCCATGTATTATTGGAAAGCAAGATTCCCAGCTGTCCTATGAAATACTAACCATGGTAGATTGTGAGAGACAAAATCTGTATCATTTTGAGCACCTTCTTGTCTCCCATTCTCCTGTTTTCATTCTGAATGGATTTAGTCTTTGTTAAAACCAGCTTGCCTAGTTATGGAGGATTCCCCAGCAGTGGGTAAAGGAATGCTCCGCTGGCCAGAGAAAAGGGACATGTCTGGAACTCCTTTAATCCCTATGGTACTAACTGCTAGAGCATCTTTGGGCCATTGATGGACAGCACTGCTCTAGTTTATATTAGGGACCAACAAGTGCCCAAATAGCCTCTGGACCAGAGGCTTATAAAGGTGGTTTAAAGCTACCTTTGCATCCTCTCTCCTAGGGTAGCAGTGTGTGATCCTCAGCCATAGTTCAAGATCTGAGGTATAAGAGTTTCAGACAATATACTGAGCACCCGCACTCTAAAAAGCAGGTCTCTTTAAAGTGTCTCAAAACCTCAAGCACCCTGCTTCTTTTGTCACTCCTAAATTTCTTGCTCTTATTTTGCACAAGGCCATACAGCAAGTTACTGGCAAAGTGGGGATCAGAATACAAAGTGCAATATTCTTTTCCTTCATTTTCAGCACCCCACATAGCTGTGTGTGCTACCTACCAGATATTCCAGCGTCCTACCAATATCCAGAATAGATTTAATGCCTGCAGAAACCACAGCAACCGGAGTACGTCCTAGCTCAGTCAAGTCAGCACTCACATCCAATGCTGTTAAAGAACAAGTAGCCTTTGTGTTAGTGACAGAGTTTTATCCCGACCTGCCCTGCTCTCTCCACTTGCTGGGTAGATGGAAGTGAAGAAAAATGTTGGGTCCAATTAAAATTGCAGTGCCAATTTTACATACATGGAATATGATCTCTAAATTTGGACATTGGCTAGAACACAATGAGTCACCCCTCTTCTCCCACTTGCAAAATGTGCTGTGAGATCTTTCCTGATCTCTAAGGATCATGGTCTTGGTTTTACATCTCATCCAAAAGGCAGCACTTTCAGCAGCATGGAGCCTCAAATATGCTGCAGCATGTGGTACAGAACTGAATAAGAAGGGAGAATGCCACTAAAAAGCCATGCTCCCTACAGCATCCTAAGTTCCCCTCTATAGGTCACCCATCCTAAGTACTGAACAAGGCCCAATTCTGCTCCCTTGCAGGAGAGACTCCCTTGAGCACAGCGAGACAAGCATATTTATCAGCATAGCCTGCTTGTACAAAATGGAAAAAGGTGTCGCCAGCTCCCATTGGACTGAATTACTGGCTAGCAAGCAACATGAAATGATAGAGATACCATTCTGTGGTTGGCAAAGGTCAAGGGAAGCTCACATCTCCCCTGAGACACATAGGTGTTCCAGAGAAAGAGTTTGAGCTTTGTGGAGTGGAAGAATTGGAAAGAAAGGCCACGTGAAATATCAGGCACACTCTTGCTGGAACCATGCTGGCAGTGGACTGTTCCTAGCAAGGTTCTTGTGTGATTTACCTGGCCAGCGTAGTCAGGGATATTTTTTCTGATAATTGTGCTAATTAAGCTTTTGCTATAGATACCCAGCATAGTGTGGTTAAAGCCTTAGGGTAGATTTATCCCCATCTTTGTCCTGAGGTAGTGGTGATTGTTCCCAGCCAGACAATACTGCGGGCCTATACAGACTAACCAGAAAAGAGGAAAAAGGTGGACTTACACAAAGGGAACATCAATATTAATTCAACAGAGACAAAATGAAGTGTAATGCTCCTCTTACTCTTCTCTCCTTCGCGATGGACCCCTCCGATCCCTCCTGTCACAAACACGGGGATTCCTGCTTTGTGTGCCACAACCATCGTCCCTGACACAGTGGTACCACCAGACAAACCCTGTCATGGAACATTCAGCCATAATCCACACAGTGTGACATGGGGAACTGTATATTCATGGACAAACTATCAGCAGCTGCAAAATGTTCTGTTGTGCACAGGTAACTGAGTTCTGGTACCATATTCTTTTAAACAAACCCTCAGGGAAAAACAAAAAAACATACTGAGGAAGGTGGCATATCTTAAATTCCCTTATACAGACTGACTCCTAAGGGCACTCAGACAACACAGGGTGGTAGGTGTGTGCGAATGCAGTGTTAGGAAATAGGATGGAAAAGTATTGAGGACATTTTTTGATGCAACTAACACATTGGAGAGTGTCTTCAACTTCTACAATCTTGCACCTTTACGGCTGTTGCTTTTCTTCCTAAAGCCCTCTCTTTTATATAGCCAGACAATTATTCTATGATATTTGCTATATCTTCTGACCTCAGAGTCTATGAACTACACTAACTTGGGCTCCTTAACATATCAGTAAGTAGGTTTAAGTTGATGTGAGGAAGTCTGACTGTAAGGGAGTATGACTTATGACATCTTACTTTTGGTACATGGTACAAAACAAAAGCTGCTGAGCTGCAAACCTGGGTAACTAACACAGCCTAGCTTTTGTCATTTTTGATGGAGTAATGTAGGGTATCAAAAGCATGGTCTAACGGGACTTTTCTGTGGCTTTTCCATAACTTCTAAGAGGGATGTGTGTGCTGCCATGTTCATGACGTATTCATTATTCTGTAGGGGCTACTAACAGATAAGCTAGAGCTCTGGATAGCAGTAGTAATTACCTGGTTAATAAAGCATTAATAATTCGTACCAGAAAAGGAAGGATTCTAACTTGAGATTAGATGCTGTCGGAGTGTCAGATATTGCTGATGAGATACGGAGTAATGGAATGATGTGGCTCCCAAAGGACAGCATTATGGGGCTGCTGTTGCCAGAGGCATCCAACCAAAGGGAGTCAGTGAGGCTATGCCCATTTACCCCAGCAGAGAATTTAATCCATAATTTCTCTATCGGGCATCCTCTAGTTATCATAGTGTTGCTATTCATGGATACTACGGTATGGTTGTCTCTAGATGCTCGTGCAGGCAGACACATTAATGTTGGGCTCCAGAGATTAGCACTAGACACACAACCATAATAACACCAGGAAAAGAAAGGGGAGTCTCAAATCATGAATGGAAATGAAGTCTCTTGAGTCTTCCCCCACCATCAACCTCAGCCTGGACCATTCTACACGAGAAATCCACTTCCTGGACACCACAGTACAAATCAACAATGGAAAACTAGACACCACTCTCTACAGAAAACCCACCGACTCATACAGTTACCTACATGCTTCCAGCTCCCATCCAAAACACACCACACGATCCATCGTCTATAGCCAAGCCCTTCGATACAACCGCATCTGCTCTAATCCCACTGACAGAGACCAGAAGCTTCAGGATCTCCACCAAGCATTTATAAACCTCAACTACCCACCCGGAGAAATAAAAAAGCAAATTGAAAGAGCCAGATGAATACCTAGAAACCATCTACTTCAAGACAGACCCAAGAAAACCAACAATAGAACACCACTTGTCATCACCTACAACCCCCAACTTAAACCTGTCCAACACATTATCAATAAACTACAGCCTATACTGGAACAGGATACCAAACTCCAAGAGGCTCTGGGAGACAGACCCATAGTCTTCTATAGACAACCACCTAACCTCAAGATGATTCTTACCAACAACCACAGGACATACCACACTAATACCAACCCTGGTACCTTCCCTTGCAACAAACCCCGTTGCCAGCTTTGTCCACATATTTATTCTGCTGATACCATTATTGGACCTAACCAAGTGAGTTATAAGATCAAGAACACATATTCCTGCGCATCCAGAAATATAATCTATGCTATCATGTGCCGAAAGTGTCCGTCTGCTATGTACATTGGACAAACATTTCAGACACTTCGCCAAAGGATTAATGCCCACAAAACAGATATCAGACAAGATCACAAAGAAAAAACAGTTTCTTGCCATTTTAACCAAAAAGGACACTCTCTCAATGACTTAACCACCTGCATTCTGCTACAAAGACCTTTTACATCTGCACTTGAAAGGGAATCCTCTGAACTGTCATTCATGTTAAAATTCGACACTCTCCAAAGAGGATTGAACAAACACTTGAACTATCTTACACATTATCAAGATAGCTTTCCCAATTATCACCTCTAATACCATTAACTCACAAACATCCCACTCTCCCCACCTCTAATATTGTCAATTCACAGACACTTACCTTCCTTCCTCCCCCCCCCTCCCGCATCCCCCCCCTGTTCTGAAATGTGATTTGTCCTTTTCATATGTGTTCTTTTTTTTAATTGTATTCTTTGGTATATATGGTTGTGACTATTTTCTTCCACTATTTGATCTGAGGAAGTGGGTCTGGCCCACGAAAGCGCATCATCTAATAAACCATCTTGTTAGTCTTTAAAGTGCTACATTGTCCTGCATTTTGCTTCAGCTACCCCAGACTAACACGGCTACATTTCTATCACTATTCTGATGGAGCATCTGTGCCACAAATCTTTGTCCAGGATATTTGCTAGGAATGCAAGCCAGAAGCCCCGCATTCAAGAGGTTCTGCTGTAAATATTTGTTTAAAAAATCCTAGTAATTGCTGGTCACAAGCTGAATCTAGTCTAGACAAATAGTCATTGCTATCTTATTGCTACTCACTGATCTATGTAAAATGAGCAGATGGCCTCAGTCTAATTCCTAGCAGACAGGCATCCACATCATTCAAAACAAAACAAAAAGCTGATGGTAATAATTAGCACCCTTGCTAACAATCCCAGTAGAGAGGGCAAAGAATGAATTCCCCTTCATTCCTGGAAGTATTCCTATTACATCAAGATTAAAGCACATTGGCAAGTCTATAGACTTCTGCTGCCATGTTTGCTTTGCTGATAAACAGAAGATTTCAGACAACCAGGAGTTTCAAATTGTCAACTCTCCTGAGCAGTTAAAAGCTGTGGACATGTTTAAAGTATAAGGCCTATCACTGTAGTTGCATTGCCCATCACTTGCAACACAATAGAGCTTTATAACTATAGTGTGAATACTCTTAGCCATGCCTCAGTTTTCATGCTATTAGTCAACACAGAATGATTTCCTTTGGGGAAACAGCTACCAAATTGTGGTTTCCCAGCTCTGCTGGTGTTGAACCTAATTAAGAAAGTGTTTTGTGCACATGTCCTCTTAATAATCAAAATTATATATGACATCTCCAAGACACTGAGAAGTACTATTCCCGCCTGGCGTTGGGCTGGGGCAGCATAACATTGCTATAAGAAAACTTGATGGCAATGGAAGATCTATACACAGTACCTGGCTGAGAACGTAGGGAAGGTCTCTCCGAGATACCTTAACTAAATTTTTGCTCTTTGCCAGAAACTGAAGTTCTTCATCATTGAGGCCGATGTGAATCTTGCCATTTAAAATGCCCACAGTTGCAGGTACAGACCCATTTGTCCTTATAATCTCCTCCACCTCTCTGGCTGTGCTGGAATAATACGAAGCAACGAAAAAATTAAAAAAACCATGATCAGGTGGGACATGTTTTCAGATCTCCCTGCTACCATGTTGTGGTTCCTCCTTTATAGCATTCCCTCAACTTCGGCTAAGTCTGGTTCCTCTCCTGTACCTTACAACTAGCAGAAGTCTTTGGACCTCTGCCAGACATGCAGATATTCCCACAGCTCCCATTGCCACATAGGCGATGCTCAGTAGCTCTGAAAATTGAGACCTTTGTATGTTTAATTCCCAGTAGAAGTCTACAAGTCGGACCTACTTCCCTGATATCCAGCCAAGCCTATTGTGTGGCCAGCAAGCAAAAAAGCACTGTAGGTCCTGAATCACTTACCAGTGCTGACTTCATCCCAAAGGTAAACCAGGGCAGGTATGGGTAGAAGAGATGGAGAACTCTTCCTAAACTATGTGATAGATTATCTATTTAAAAGTGGGTTTCCACATTGCCAAACAAGGTGTGAATGGGATTCGTTTGCATTAACTTGTTTTACTGTCCCCTGCCAGTTTTTCTCTCCGCCAAACAACCGAAAGTGGATGCCATGTAGAAATGAAGGGTAATGATCTGGCATGTTAAGGAAGCAATTACACATAATTTGGTATGTGCTTATATTAGGTACTTCCATAGTTGCCATGTTTTGAGTGGGATATGGGCATGTAGGCCAAGGGCTGTTAGGTCCCTGAAAAGTGAGGGTATGTAGTATGAATGATCCTCCTGATGGGGGGGAGGTTGTTTTTTATAAAACATTTTGTATCAACTATGCCCGCTGACAGGGGCAGGAAAGGGGGCAACTGCCCTAGGGCCTAGTGATTCACAAGGGCCCAGGGCTCCTGGCTGTTGCCACCACTACTACAGCAGCAATAGTGGCCAGAGCCCTGAGCCCTTTAATTCACTGCCAGAGTGCAAATGGCACACCTCCGGGCAGTTCTGAGGGCTGCCTAGGGCATGTGGGAGTGTGAGGGGGATGCAGCGTACTCTCCTAATTTAGACGTTAGGTGTGGACAGTGACAGATGTGAGATACTGAAGGGCTTCAAGCTGGGGCTTCTTCATTTCTGCAGGCTTTTTATTTACTGATTTGTGAGACTACTTCATTTCTTGTGGAACAGAATGCAGATTTGGCAGGTCCCTCTGCCCCTGAGGCTTCTGTACCAGCCTCAGACAGCCTGAAGCCACCTTCCCACAAAAACAGAACTCTGCATTCTGGTCTCTAAGGAATAGCACCAAAGAAACATAATGGCTGTATAAGAAACAAATAAAAAAATCATCACAGGAACCTTCCTGCACCGTGTCTCGGTAACTAAGCAAAAGTATGGAAGATTGCGTCCGTTTTTGGCACTGTCACTCAGAAGAAAACGGATACAGAGTTTACCCACAAGTAAAGGGCTGGTTGCAGAGATGTGTTCCTTGGCACAATGCTGTCTTAATGTAACACTGAGGGGCGGGACCAAACCTGAGACTTCTGGAGCTTAGTCCATGAACCTCAGTCTATAGCATGAGCTAAAAGCTAGCTGGCTCTCAGCTTAGACTGTAGAGCAGACTCATTATTCTCTTTGTAAGTGGTCTCAGTGCTACTAGCGACGAAGAGTCCTGTGGCACCTTATAGACTAACTGAAGTGTAGGAGCATAAGCTTTCGTGGGCAAAGACCCACTTCGTCAGATGCATGTAGTGGAAATTTCCAGAGGCAGGAATAAATATGCAGGCCAGGATCAGGCTGGAGATGACCAGGTGGATCCAATCAAGGAGGATGAGGCCCACTTCTAGCAGCTGATCTGGAGGTGTGAATTCCAAGAGAGCAGAAGCTGCTTTTGTAGTTAGCAAGCCATTCACAGTCTTTGTTTAATCCAGAGTTGATTGTGTCAAACTTAAAGATGAACTGTAGCTCAGCAGTTTCTCTTTGAAGTCTGGTCCTGAAGTTTTTTTGCTGCAGGATAGCTACTTTTAGATCTGCAATTGTGTGTCCAGGAAGATTGAAGTGTTCCCCTACAGGTTTTTGTATGTTGCCATTCCTAATATCAGATTTGTGTCCATTGATTCTTTTACGTAGGGACTGTCCAGTTTGGCCGATGTATATAGCAGTGGGGCATTGTTGGCACATGATGGCATATATTACGTTGGTGGATGTGCAGGAGAATGTACCAGTGACAGCTACACCCAGCAGGTGTGTACATTGCATTAGCATAAGCCAGGCCAGCAGGGGCTCATCTAGACTACGCTAGAGTGTCGAAAGAGGCTGAAGTTTCGAAAGAGGATATGCAAATTCCATGGGATCTTCTGATCTCACTTTCGAAGCAGAGCTTTCAAAAGTGAAAGTAGTCGGGGCGTGGTTTTTTTGGGCCCCCCCCCTTTGTCGCAAAGCCACTCTTCCTCAAAAAATAAGGTTTACGCCGCTTTTCGAAAGGGGGGGGGAGGACTCACTGAAAAAGCCGCATCTAAACTACTTTCATGTTCAAAAGCTCTGCTTTAGAAAGTGAGATCGAAAGAATATATGCAAATTCCCACGGAATCTGCATGGTCTAGATGAGCCCCAAGAACATCTAGAAGAACATTGTAGTGGTATTTACAATGTTCTTATGGTTACAGATGAGCAGAAATCATCACTGTATTCCAGTAACCTTTTAAATTGTAAAAGATGTAGCCAAAGAAACTTGTGAGGACTTGCAAGGTCTCTGGTCACAAAGGCTTGAGATCTCTATCCAGACATGGCAATGCCATCAATTGCTGTCAGTTTCCAAAGAAAGCCAGGGATTTGAGGCTACCAACGGATATGTAGTCATGTAGTTCTATAGTCATGTACTTCTGCTATCTTGGGGCTACCAAAAGCAGCTGTTTTGTATCAGATGTCATATTCTGCATGCTTATCACATCTTCAATTCCCACTAATTGTAGTGGCAGGTTTGGGAAACAAGCCCATAGATTATCAGACACAACCTTACAATTTTGCTGCACTAGAGTCAAATCTACAACCTCAGATTCTGGGGATAGGGCATGCCATGTGTAATAATGGTGCTCTCCAAGGCGACGACTGGTTTCCCATCAGCCAGAGCTTCCTCCACAGAAGTTGAAACTCTGAAATGAATTCCTAGGAAAAAAATACAGGAAAAGCATTTATATTTCAAGCAAATGATAGACTTTTATGACTGTACATTAAGCAGTGTGGGAATAATTGTATAGGAAGTTGGGAGATCAGACTATGGTGACTACCCAGCCTAATTTTTATGGAACATTCCTATTTTATTTTTGTGGATCTGTCCTATGTCCTGCAAACCCACACAAGGAGCAAAAACTCCTGAAATTATTAAATCATTTGGGTAAAAAACATCCTTTTATGCTTTGCAACATAATTCCACCACATAATCATACTGTTTTTCTCTTCTTGCAGAACACTATGGGAAAGGTGTAACACACCAGTATTTCGCATCTTGAACCCTCTCTCTCTCTTGAATACACCAGACACCCAACAAAATCAAAAACAGCTTAAAAGAAAGTTTTGTTCCATATGTCCAGTGATATCTGGCTGTAAAAAGAGCAAACGTAGAATTGTTTTGCATACACGATTAAGCAGCATGAAAATTCTCATCGTTTAAGATAAATTGTTTAAAAAATTATTCAGACTTTTCAAGCAAATTAACTAGTTAGTGCCCCCAACCAGAAAATAATTAATCATATTGGATCTAATTTTAGGGAACTTTTTTAAGCGAGAATGCCATGAATTTATTCTATATCAGCTTAGCACATGCAGCACTTTTTTTAGGTAGGAATTCAGACAGTCCATGTTCAGATCTGTGCCCAAGGAGCCATCATATTTAGACAGAAATAATTTTATTAGGAGTAATGTAAAGTTTGAAGAGTGATTGGGATCTTTTTAATCTTAGGGGTATTCTTGATTATTTTTTTGTATTGCATTAGCATCTAAAAGTCCCTGTCACTCTTCTGAAATCTGAACTGTCAATCAATTTCACATTGACTATTATGGGCCTTATTATCCTTTCTCTTCCCCCATCCCTTCCCCCCAATTTTACAGCTGGGTACTTCTATGGACTTCAGTTGAGCTCATCAAAATTTACACTGGTGTAAGTGAGAGCAGCACTGGGCTTCGCAAGTTTGCTGTGATCAGAGATTGGGGTATGTATTAAAAGACGGGAGTTGTCACTGCCAAAAATTCCATCGCAGCCAAGACAGTATTAAAGTATCATGCACCAAAGTTCCCTTGCCTCATAGTTTTTCCTATAAATTGCATAAACCAGAAGCTTTCTCTGAACTGAGTTTTAAAAGGTCTCAGAACACTCTGAGTGAGCTGCCTCTACATTGTTCCCAGACACTACCGTGTTGTCTACTCTGGCCCTCTTGCACAAAAGCATTTGTGCAAGAGAGCTTTTGCCTGAACAGGAGCAGCATAGCATTTCCGCAAGAACACTGACAATCTTACATGAGATCGTCAGTGTTCTTGCGGAAATTCAAGCAGCCAGTGTAGACAGCTGGCAAGTTTTTCCGCAAAAGCAGCTGCTTTTGCGGAAAACCTTGCCAGTCTAGACGCAGCCTATCTGTTCAGGATCCTAGCTGCATTCCCATGGAGAAAACAGTATTATCACTGGGAATTTTTCAGAGGACACTACTCACCATGCAGGGATCTTCTCACCTGGATGATCCTAGGAGCCACAGTAGCTATTTGCCTTCCCAAGGTACAGGCCAGATTTCCAATCATTTTGTGTTCAGGGATGGCACTGTCAGGAGAGCAATGTCATGTCAAATGAAAGTACATAGAAGGCAGTGGTCTTATTGTTTCCCAAACTGCTTGTTAATCATGAATGCAGCCTGACCCTTTGTGATCTCCAGTCCGGGAAACTTTGTATGTGTTGTACAGGATGGGCTAACAGATGGATAAATCCTGTGTAAAGATCAGCTGGGGTTTTGCATGTCTTAGACAAAGTGCTAAGCAGTATGGTAAAATGTGCAAAGAAAGAAACCCACAGACAAACAGAAGGCTAGATGGAGAGATAATAAATATGGAGAAATGGACTAGCTTACCCAGAAACAAGAGGTCTGACTAATCCCTAACTTTATGTAATCTTTCTTAATAGTACAAAGGTACAACAGGCTGGAGGCAAGGAATCATTCAATCCTTGCAATAACACCTTCAATCCTTGTTGAGAAGCTGTTACTTTCTCTGAACAACTTCTGTTAATGGCTGTGAAACTATTTTTTCATTCTAAAAAAACTACATACAGAGTCTAGAATCTTAGAAATCCACATGTAAGGGAAGGATACGTCTGTTTGCTACAAAGAGGGGGAATTGTTCTTATAGATCTCTTCTCTCAAGCTGTCACACACAAGTTGCCAAGAGACATAAGACACTCTGGATCTAAATACTGGGCCAAACCCAGATGTCCATACTCCATCTGTCCTTACTAAAACTACCCCTGCCCTTCCGCTAATGTTTGGACTCAAATATGATCTACAGATAGCAACATCCCCATTCTAAATATGTGTTCTTTGTTTGATCTGAATCCCTAGGGGTTCATACAAACTTTCTAGTTCTGTGTTCTATGAACCTGCCACCAATACACCAAATTCAGCTGTCCTGTAACTCCTGTGAAGATAGTTGGGTATCTGGTCAGTTGAATTTTGCGCTCAGTTTCCAGTTTGAAACAGTCCTCCAAACCCAATGTGAAAAATCAGCAGAAATTGCCAAGTTATGTCTGTTTGTGGATCAAAACCAGCTAATTTCCATCCAAAGCCCTAAATTAGCTCAGCCAAGGTTTGCTAAGAGATTTTTGAAAGTTGGCAGACATTTTAGAATACCCCGCCTGACTTTTTGGTTTAATTACAAGAGCTTCACAAAGTTCTAATTTAAGCTGGCTTTTCCCCAAGAAGCTCTCCCCCGAACCTTCCCAGCCAGAAGCCCTTTGTATAAGCACCATCAGCCTCTGATTTCATTAAATTATGGACTGGTATATTGTCAGTCTCTTACCTCTGGGTTTCTTCTGACATACATGGGCTGCTGCCTTCGTTGACTTGTTGCTCCCACAGCTCTGCAGGGAGGTGGGACAAGTGAGATTTACTGCAGAATTGGCTGGCACTAGTCTGCATTCCAGCCACAGGCTCCATGCTGAGATAGTATGTCTGTCATTAACTGCATAAGCAGCTGGGGCTTTGGAACTGGTCCCTGGCTAGGGAATAGGAGAGGATTTCACAGCTGGCTGGAGATTTCTTTTGCTAATGTGGTGCCAATTATTTTCCCCTTTTTTCACATCATTTTTTGTTTTCGCTATTCATACTCTCTTGTTCTTTGTCCTGGGTTTTAAACATGAATATAGTACTGGTGAAAGTCACTAAAGAGAGAGCCCTGGAGATTAAGTTCTACTTATGTATCCACAGACAGAACAGAAAATAGCAGGACAGGCTTCCCTCACATGAAAGGTGCTAAGCTCACCATTGGAAGAGAATAAATAGCTCAGTCTCAATGCCCATTCAGTCCTCAGGTGCTTCCCAAGGAGGAATGCCACTGGAGTGCCAGTTTTGATTGTGCTTTTTCTCACATGAATACTGCTCCACTGGGACAGACATATAGTGAGCACAAAAACTCATTTAGCTAAACAGCTCTCCAACAACCCAGGAAACTACAGACCGGTCAGTTTAATGTCTGTCCCAGGGAAGATAATGGAGCAGGTAATTAAGGAAATCATATGCAAACACTTGGAAGGTAATAAAGTGATAGGGAATAGCCAGCATGGGTTTGTGAAGAACAAGTCATGCCAAACTAATCTGATACCTTTCTTTGATAAGATAACGAGCCTTGTGGATAAGGGAGAAGCGGTGGATGTCATATACCTAGACTTTAGTAAGGCATTTGATACGGTCTCGCATGATATTCTTATTGATAAACTAGGCAAATATAACTTAGATAGGGCCACAATAAGATGGGTGCATAATTGGCTGGATAACCATAGTCAGAGAGTTGTTGTTAACCTCTAAAAATTTGAAATGTAGGTCAGACCCCTTTGGAAATCTTAGATGTACTCTGTGGACCCCCATGTTGTCCACAGATCACAGTTGAAAAATCACTGTTCTATGGCAACAATGACCTTTTACAGACCCTCATGGACATAGTCTGTGGACGACATGGGTCCACAGGCCTGAAATTGAAAAACACTGGCCTGCACCATTAATGACCCAAGGGAGCCTTATTCTTGAACCTCATTGAAATTTCTTTACATAGTTAAAGAATCTATACTATAAATATTACTGCATCAGAAATAATTTCTGGTAAGTCTTTAAAGTCATTGAGCCAAATTGACTTTAGATACTTGCACACAGCACACTGAATTCAGTGAGAGTTGTACTTGTTAATGTGAAAGCAGGATTTGGACTTTCCTCTTGCGGTATCTATGAGACAATGTATGTGTGCCTGTATCTATAGTGTAGACGCTAAATTCCTTGTATCTTTGTAAAGTAGCCACACTATAAAGCCCTGTATAGACAAAGTGAAAACTGTAGTAGGATACTATGAAGCAACTCCATGGAATATTTGCAATTTCGTAAAAGAAAGGATTTAATGTTCTCCCTTCATTGCTGTACTTTGTAAATTAAATAATCTGGTAATATAAAAATGTATATAGGTACTAGTTCTAGTTATATCTGAGACTAAAAAGCCATTGAAAGTTGTGTTGTGAATGTAATACTATAACCATTTTGAAAGTCTCAGAGAGGTAGCCATGTTAATCTGTAACTAACAAAATTTTAAAAACAACAATGGTCCTGTAGCACCTTAGAGATCCACATGGGTGGATCCTTACAGCTGCTCACAACCCAGCTAAAGTGAAATGTGGGTTCTTCTGCCCACAGATAATATGGCAGGGCTAAGCTGTTAGTGGACTGAGGGCAGATCTACACTGAACCTGGAAGGAAGGCTTAAGGTACACAACTGCAGCTACGCAAAATGCATACTTGGAGTAATCTTACCTTAAGATGAGCCGTGGTGGCGTCCACACTGAGGGAGGCTGACAGGAGCAAAAGCCTCCCATCAGCTTCCCTTACTCCTCACAAAGAGAGGAGCGCTGAACACTGGCAGGAACTGCCTTTAGCATTCGATTTACGGGTGTATACTAGACCCGCTAAATTCTGTAATGATGTCCAGACACTACAGAGCTGAACTGGACTCACACTTGGACCTAGAAATTAAATCGTCTCTGTCCCCTTGCCAAAAACAAGCGTACGTGTATCTATCTAAAACACGATGTTTGCTTAGATGGATCAAATAAAAACCTCTAGAAAAAAACTAAAGTAAAAATTATGACGTTTGGAAAAGAGGAGACTATTTCAAATTTAAGGTCAGGGTAGATCTCATAATCTCTATAAATGTCTCCAGGTGATCTCTGTATTAATCAGCAATATTTGTCCTTTCTTCCCTTAATCCATTCTGACAATAAAGTTGCAGATATTTTTTTCTTCCATCTCCTTTGTCTTGCTAAAGACAAAAGGCATAATTAATAGTAGTCCAGGTGTCACTGGATGCTTGTTGCATTTTCATCCATTTAATGTTATGTCAGGATTGTTTAAATCTAGTTGAGAAGAAGCTGAAAGCTTTAAAATTGAGTGGGTATTTAAAATTCTGTCATAAGCAGGCCCCACTCCCATTCATTTCAACTGGGCTGTGTCTAGACTGGCAAGTTTTTCCGCAAAAGCACCAGCTGTCTACACTGGCTGCTTGAATTTCTGCAAGAACACTGACTTCCTACTGTTTGAAATCAGTGCTTCTTGCGGAAATACTATGCTGCTCCCATTCGGGCAAAAGTCCTTTTGCGCAAAAGGGCTAGTGTAAACAGCTCAGATTTGTTTTGCGCAAAAAAGCCTCGATCGCGAAAATGGCGATCAGGGCTTTTTTGCACAAAAGCGCGTCTAGATTGGCACGGACGCTTTTCCGGAAAAGCGTCCATGCCAATCTAGACGCCCTTTTCCGCAAATGCTTTTAACGAAAACTTTTCCGTTAAAAGCATTTGCGGAAAATCATGCCAGTCTAGACGTAGCCCTGGTGTTGTACCCACTTATACTAGGAATTAGTTTGCCCCATATATCTAAGGCTATGTCTATACTATCAGTTTTTGCCGAAAGAGGCAATGCAAATTAAGTCCTGATTAGCATATTGTCACGCTTCATTTGCATAATCTATTCCAAGCCGCTTTTGTGCAAAAACAAGCAGTGTGGACGTTTCCTTTTTGTGCAATAACCGGAGAGGGATAAGGATCTTGCACAAAAAGGGTTTTTTTATGCAAATGAAGTGTGACAGTATGCTAATCAGCACTTCAATTGCATTGCCTTTTCCTGCAAAAGCCATAGTGTAGACAAAGCTTTAGGCTACATCTACACTGGCGCGTTCTCACGCAAAAACTCTTTTGCGGAAGAGTCTTCTGCAAAAACTCTTCCAGAAGAGAGCGTCTACACTGGCATGTGCATTTGCACAAGAGCATCCATGCCAGTGTAGATGCTCTCTTGCGCAAGAAAGCTCTGATGGCCATTTTAACCATAGAGCTTTCTTGCGCAAGAAATTCATGTTGCTTGTCTACTCTGGCCTCTTGCGCAAGAACAGTTGCGCAAAAGGGCTTATTCCTGAGCGGGAGCGTCAGAGTTGTGGTGCAAGAAGCCCTGATTTCATACATTAGAATGTCAGTTTACTTGCGCAAGAACACGCGGCCAGTAGACAGGCAGCAAGTTTTTGCGCAAGAGCGGCCACTTTTGCGTAAGATCGTGCCAGTACAGACATAGCCTTACAGTTTAAGGCCCTGATCTTGCCCTAAGCTTTGTGTGGGTAAGTAACTACATGGAGCCCCAATGGAATCAATTGAGCTCTGCAAGTAGAGGGGTCCATCCATCCACACAGTGCTTAGTGATGGATCAGCACCTATATTTGGATATGACAAAACAAGTACAGTGACAAACAAACCGACTGTGTCTACATTGGCACCCCTTTCCGGAAAAGGGATGCTAATGAGACCAGTCGGAATTGCAAATGCTGCGGGGGATATTTAAATTGCTTAAATAAGCAATTTGCATAGCTTATTTTGAGTTACAGGTGCACTGTAGATGCACCTTAAGACAGCAATGGGCAACCAAGGCTAGTGAGTGGGCTCCTTTATCTCACGTGGGCTGCAAGATTGTCATTACCAAGATGATCTCTCAGGCTAGGGTAGTTTTGCAAACTGCACTTGTGTACCTAGAATTTGTGGGGTAAACCAAGTGAATCATAGCAGTGCTTTTGTAACTACCACCAGGCAGATCTGAACCTGGGATCTCTGAAGCTTAGTATAGGAGCCTCTACCCTCTGAGCTAGAAGCCAGCTGGCTCCCAGCTCATTCTGTAGAGGTCTCTTGATCTAGTCTGTTGCTGTGCTCTAGATACCACTTGCATTGCTCAGTAACCACGCTAGGACTATGTCTACACTGGCGGCTTCTTGCGCAAAAATGGTAGTTTTTGCACAAGAACCCACAGAGTGTCCACACTGCCCGCCCGCTCTTGCGCAAGGAAATTTACAGTACGACGTGGTAAGAGAGGGCATCTTGTGCAAGAGCTACACTCTTTTCTAACAGGTGTAAGCTCTTTTGCGCAGGAGCTCTTGCAGAAGAAGGCAATGTGGACGTGAGGCCAGGGTTTCTTGCGCAAGAAAGCCCTACGGCTAAAAAGGCCATCAGAGCTTTCTTGTGCAAGAGAGTGTCCACACTGCCATGGATGCTCTTGTGCAAAAGCACAACTCACACATGGCAGTGTGGACGTGTTCTTGCACAAGACTTCTTGCACAAGAACCCTTGTGCAACTTGTTCTTCCGCAAGAAGCCACCAGTGTAGACATAGCCTATGCGTGTGGGTTACACTTTGATTGGATGCAGAGGGGAAACACGGCTCTAACAGTCAATGTGGTTGTGAAATCAGCACGCACCTCACTTCACCTGCTGTTGTTTTATGTGCATGTCACCTCAGTAATACCAGTAGAGAAAAAATTACATGTATGGAAACCGGAGGAATCTGGCAACCCTGCAAGTGGGCAACAGTAAACAAAATGTCTCATGGGCCACATATAC